GCGCTCGTCTGAACCCACAATATCTTTGAGGTATGTCTGTCACCATCCACCAATCAGTGTAGTTTGGTAGGTAGTAGCATTTACTAATAGTCTGTAATATTCTCTTTTAGGAGTTCTGAATATGTTCAAGAAGGAAGGGAAGATTCCAGAACTTAGAAACATAAAGTTTAGTTTTGCAGACACCAAACACACACAAAAATCATTAAAAAGGCACTCTGTACTTCATATTGAAAAGTACAAATTACACAGTAAATTATTTCTTCATAATACTTTTCTCTTCCACATCCACTTAAATCACCCTTTCGTGGAGATTGTGGAAATCTCCACATTGTTCTGAGATTCACATCTGTCCCTGATAGGTGAAGAAGTAATTGGTCATTGGTCCTCAAAAACCATCGGTAGCCTTTTTATCAAATACTTTTCTGAAGAGCCTCTGTAAATCTCTCTGAACATCAAACAGATTTCATTGTGTTGTGTGGTTTTTTTTTCACCCTTAAAGATTGTGTTTTCCAGGTTGTGTGTTTTGGGATTCTCCATTTTTCTCACTTCCACTCCCTTGATTCCTGTGCCTTTGCTAGTGAAACCTAAGTGCCACGGTTTTCTCGTCAGTCCCGTCCCCTCCCACTTAAGCTTCTGCACACCCTACCGTAAAAACAAGTCCACCTTGAGCAGCTTTATTCAGAACCAGAACATGCCCTCCTCATTTCCTTAGATCATGCACTAAGGTCTGTGCCTTCACCCATATGGTAGCTGTGGTTGATCAGTTCAACCAAATAGCTAACATTGATTGGTTTACTAAATTTGTTTTTAGTTTCCGTGGATGTTCGTTTTGTTAAGAGTGTAGTATTTTGCCTTGCTCACAGCCTGCAAATTCAATGTATAAAAAATATTCCATTTTCTATGCTGCTTGGAACTTACACTCTAGCTGCCCAGTTCCTTTCAATCCCAACTCACATTAGTATGTTAGCTGAGAGTATATAGAAGAATTCTGAGCTAAGATGATTCTTTTTTAACGTTAATTTTCTGGAAAAAAATACTGTATCCATGCAGCACTACGGAAAGAGCTTAAACATTCACTTTTACTGTGTGTGCACACATAAAATCAATTTGTCTCATACTACTCATGTCACCATATCACCTCATCTCTTTAAGTTTCATTTTCATTATGAGTTACTGGTATTAATACTTGCTCTGTCTTCCAAGCAGTGGTGTTATAAAATAAATAGTAATTGTCCTCAGGTACAATGCAAATGTAAATATCCTCAAAATGCAGTGAAAGTATTTTAAACATGCAAGGTGACATATTAAATGATTTGGGGGCAGACAGAAGAACCCATGAACGATGGAGATATCATCATCCAGCTCTCACCAGCAGAACGAGCAGGACTCATCGCCTCAGGAGAACTTTCTTCAGCTTAGGAGTACTTTTTTAAAAAAATAGCTTTAGGAGACACATGCCATGTAATTAACCAACTTAAGTTATGCAATTCTGTTGTTTTCAGCGTATGCTGAGAGTCGTGCAGTCATCAACACAATCCATTTTAGAACCTTTTCATCAGGCTGCCAGAAAACTCCTGAACTGATTGCAGTCACTCCCCATTTTTCTACAAAGCTCTCAGATCTAGGCAGCCACTAATCTACTTTCTATCTCTATAAATGCACCTATGATGAGTGTTTCATATAAGTAGAGTTATATTAATACATTGTCCTCTGTGACTGGCTTCTTTGACTTAGCATAATATTTTCAGGCATCAGTCATGTTATATTGCATATCAGAACTTCATTTCTTTTTATGGCCACGTAATATTTTATTGTATAGATATACTGCTTTTTGTTTATGTATCAGTTAATGGATATTTAGGTTCTTTTTTTGGCCCTTGGGCTGCTATGAACATTTGTTTATAGTGCTTTTATGTGGGTATATATTTTCATTTCTCCTGGGTATATACCTAGGAGTAGAGTTGCTTGATCATATGGTAACTCTAATCAAGGAACTCCCAAGCTATTTTCCAAAGCAGCTGTGCCTTTGCATCCTCACTAGAAATCTGTGAGAAGTCCAATTTCAACACATCCTCATCAGTGCTTGTTACCATTTTTTAATCATATCCATCCTAGTGGGTGTGAAATGGTGTTCATTGCTGCTTAGATTTGAATTCCTCTAATGACTAATGATTTGAGCATCTTTTCGTGTGTTTATTGGCCATTTGTATGTCTTTCTTGGAGAAGTGTATGTTGAAAGGTTTGCCCATTTTGATTAGATTATTTTTGTTTAATTATGGGAGTTCTCAGTAAAAGTTTATTGAATTAGATATATGATTGCAAATACCTTCTCCCAATCTGTAGGTTGTCTTTTTACCTTTCTTGAAGGTATCCTTTTAAGCCCCAAAACTGATGAAGTCGAATTTATCTATTTTGTTCTTTTGTTGCTTATGCTTTGGATGTCATATCTAAGAAAACACTCTCTAATCAAAGGACACAACGATTGACTTACGATTTCTTCTAGAGCACTGTAGTTGTAGCTGTTATATTTAGATCGTAACTCTGATTCATTTTGTGTTAATTTTTGTATATGGTGTGAGACATAGGGTTTTCTTGTGTATTCTTTTGCATGTGGTTATCCAGTTGTCCCAAAAGACTTTGAACCTCAGGCCTGGCGGTGGCTCATGCCTATAACTCCAGCACTTTGGGAGGCTGAGGCAAATGGATCACTTGAGGTCAGGAGTTCAAGACCAGCCTGGCCAACATGGTGAAACCCCATCTCTACTAAAAATATAAAAATTAGCTGGGCGTGACAGCACGCACCTTAGTGCCACATACTTGGAAGGCTGAGGCAAGTATCAAAGATACTTGGGAGGCCGAGACTTCCTGGGCTCAACCTTTACTTGAACCCAGGAAGTAAAGGTTGCAGTGGGTGGAGATCGTGCCACTGCACTCCAGCCTGGGTGACAGAGTGAAACTCCATCTCAATAACAACAAAAAAAGACTTTCAACCCCATTGAGTCTTGTCCGTCTTGTCAAAAATCAGTACATGTGATAGTTTATTTCTGAACTCTCAATTTCACTGAACTATTTATCTGTACCTGTGGCAGTACCACATAATCTTGATTACTGTAGCATTATATTATGTTTTAAAATCGGGAAATAAGAGTTCTCTAACTTTGTTCTCCTTTTAAGATTATTTTGGCAATTCTGGGTCCCTTACGTTTTCATACTACTTTTAGGATCAGCTTACCAATTTCTACAAAAGAGCCAGCTAGGATTTGGATAGAGATTGCATTAAACGTGTAGATCAATTTGGGGAATATTTCCATTTTAACAGTGTTGTCTTTCAGTCCATGAACACAGGATGTCTTTACATTTATTTAGACTTTTAAAATTTTTTGAAAATGTTTTGTTATTTTCAAAATACAAGTTTGCATTTATTTTATAAATTGATTCCTAAGTATTGTATACTTTTTGATGCTATTATGATTCGGGTTGTTTTCTTCATTTTCTGATTGTTCATTGCTAGTGTATAGAAACAATTTGGGGAGCTGCAGTTGTACCCTGCAACCATGTTGAACTTGTTTATACATTCTGATCGTTTTTTTAGTGGCTCCCTTAGAACTTTTATATATAAGATAATGTCATCTGCAATTAGAGATAGTTTTACTTCTTCCTTCCCAATATGGCTTTTTATTTATTTATTTTTCCTAATTGCTCTGGCTAGAATTTTCATTGCTATGCCGAATTGAAGTGGTGAGAGCACACCTCATTGTCTGGTTCCTGATCTTAGGAGGAAAGCATGGCGACTTCAGTCATTAAGAGGTTAGCTGTAGGGTTTTTGTAGATGCCATTTATCAAGTTGAGGAAATTCTGTGTTCTGTTGCTAGTTGTTTGAGCATTTTTATCATGAGAGAATATTAGATGCTGTCAGGTGCCAAAAACTATGTCTGTTGAATGATTATGTTGTATTTCTTCCTTATTCTGACATGTCATATTAAATTAATTGATATTCTTGGATGTTAACCCAACCTTGGATCCTTGGAATAAGTCTCACTTGGTCATGGTGTATAATGTTGTTTATACGTTGTTGGATGTGGTCTGCTAGTAATTTTTTTTTTTTTAAGATTTTTGTGTCTACATTTATAAGATACTAATCTGTAGTTGTGTTTTTTTGGTAATGTCTTGAGAGTTTTTTTTTTTAAATCAACTAAAATTAAAGAATGAATGTAGGGAGAGTGTTTCAAGGCAGAGAAAAATCTAAAAATCATTGATACCATGATGAAAGTGCTAAATATGGGACTATGAGTCCTTAGCAGAACATAACCCTGAAGCGCAGTGGAAAAAGCACAGGGTTTTGGTTGAAGAGCTACTGTTTTTGATTCTGTTGTTTGCTGTGTGACTTTGAGTAAATTACCAAAGATTTCCTCCAGGATAACAATACCTATGTCAGACCTTTGTTATGGGGATTAAGTGAGGTGATACATGTAGAGAGTATTTTGTTAAAGGCCAAACACTATTAAAATTGTAGGTGTTTATACCATATATAGAGAAAAAGAATTTAAGAGCGCACTGGAGGAACAGAACATCAGCACTTCCAGAAAGGCCTTAATAAAATTGTTGAGGCAGAACAAAACCTAATGTGGTGGCAGGATCATTCATTTGAGGTAGACAATGATTTAACCAAACAAATAGAATCACTTTAAAGCACATACCAGATATGTGAGTTTCGTGGTCATAAAGTTTGGCTTTGTCTGGGATGGAAGGAAGTCAGTGTAGATTTTACCAGGGGGAATTTCTGTTCCTTGGTGTAAACTGGATAACAGTGTGTTTTGTTTATTTTATTTTGTTTTGCTTTGCTTTGTTTCTGTTACATAAACTTATATTGAGTTTAGTAAATTTCCACCATATTAAAACCTCCTGCTATTAGAAATTTTCTAGAGGCTGTTTGAAAAACATCAAAGGACACAACTTAAAAATGACTACAAATGTGCCTTGTTTGTTTTAACTCTTTTCAGATACAAAGCCAGCCTGCGTATTTAACAACGTGGAATATTATGATGGAGACATGTTTCGAATGGACAACTGTCGGTTCTGTCGATGCCAAGGGGGCGTTGCCATCTGCTTCACTGCCCAGTGCGGTGAGATAAACTGCGAGAGGTACTACGTGCCTGAAGGAGAATGCTGCCCAGTGTGTGAAGGTAAGAAAAGGTGCCAATTACAGATTACAGGAATAGACATGCTATAGAGTTTTTAAATCAAAATTGTCCTAATTCAGTCTCATCCAAAAGTAAAGGAATATTGAAGTTCCTTGTTTAGCTGTTTTTAGGACATTGTGGTCTGTCTTTTAGCATGTTCATCCCAGGTAGAGTGTGTGGAAATACTTCCCTGAGAGAGGCTATGCCTGGGTGTAGATGATGGGCCATCTCTTTCCATAGGCAACGTGAGATTTCCTGGAGTTGTTTTCCATTCCTTCCCTGCAGTTCCAGCAATTCGTCAACAAGTCTCCTCGCATTAGAGCTCACCACCTGCTTACCTCAGATTGCTCAGTTAGGATAGTGCATGCCTTGCCCTGACAGTCTCAGCCCGCCAGCCCAGAGGGAAGCTAACCCTGCCTCTGTCGCAATACCCATGCCCCTCCAGCGAGATCAGGGGCCTGCTGCTGCTTCTCTGAAAATATGTGGTGATTCATATGGGGTCTTGGTATCAGGTGTTGGTGACACCAGCTCGAGGCCCAGCCAGGTGTCAGGTGTGACTGTCAGGAATCTGCTTTCTCTGGATTCCCCTCTTCTCTCCGAGAAGTAATATGTTCATGTTCCTCCAACAGGCTGCATCTTCCCATCACTGATGTTCACAAATAATAAGCATTTCAGAACAGTAGCTCTGAATATCACACCCTGCAGCCCACACATTTTAAAGATTAGGATGTTGACGTTCAGAGAAGTCACTTGCCTGGGTCTACAATGCAGTCAGGAACAGTAACCCCATACCTGACTGTGTCTCTAGTGTTCTTCTGATAACACAACACTGTTTCCCCAGAAAGGAAGGTCATGTGAGCCTTTCTGTCCTAACCGGGTCCCAGATCTTCAATCTAAAGTCTCTTGTGTTAGTCTTATGCCTGATCTCTGCACACAAAGTGGGAGGGCACAATGTCAAGCCGCCTTCCATCCTTTTTCATTTTCCTATAATTTTCTCCTTCTGATGTTTAAGCTATATTTGCAGCACAGTATTGAAGATCTGAAATGTTTAAGGTATAAAAATTACAGTCCTAACAGAATTCACTAACAGTGAATCCTTTTCCCTATTAGAGTTTATTTTAACCAGCGTAGGAGAAAAGTAGTTTATTTTTTAGGTGTTGTTGACAATTACAAATAATTACATCAAATCTTTAACCTTCCTAATTGATTTGTTCCCTACCTGTCCTCAGTCTGTAATAGTGTCTGAAACGGTGCAGCAGTTGATGCTGTAAAAATGTGCATATGAACCTCTGAGTAGTCATCATAATGAGTTGTCTGGGCATGGATCCAGTTATGTCTCACTTCCTGGAATTCAGATCCAGGCTCAAAGTAGAGAAAATATATAATCTAATACTTTTTACTCAGGAATTTTAAAAATCTTATCTTGCTCAGGTCCATGGGCCACCTCCCTCTCTGGCAGGCTGCCTTCCTAACACTGTGATGGCATTATTTTAAATGTTGACCTTCTAACTAACTTCATTATAATGCCCTACTACATCCTTAGAATAAAGATGACCAAACTCTAAACTGTCTGGATTCCCCTCCCAGCACAGCAGTACTTGTTTGTTGAAACCAGTTATTTATGTATTTCTAAGAAAATCGAGTAATTTATCTAGTTGCTTTCAATATAGGGATATGTGGGGGTTTTGCATGCAGTATTTATATCCTTGTCAATGACCTCAGAAACTTTTTTTTCTTTACAGTAGCATTGGCACTTCTGTCTCCCACCTGGGACTGCAGCTTAGCTTCCCAGCTTATGGGAGTAAAAATGGCTTAAGTTCACAGCCCTCCTCCAAGGAACATGACCTAATCTAGACCAGCCTTATCTTGAACCAAGACCACAGCAAGAGCATGTTGCCCACGTGGTCCTGCAGTCACGTGAGATACAGTTCTAGAAGTAGCAACGTCACTCTGAGTTAGACAGGGCATTGTTGTTTCTACTTTACGTATAGGGAAATTGAGGTTTGATAAACATTTGTGTCTTCAAATCTGAAGACATTGCGAGAGCCTAAAATTGATTCATGTTTTCTAATTACCAACCCACAGCTCTAGCCACAAAGCTTTCCACCTTTGCTGAGTGATCACACCTGCACGTTGGTTTTTAGACCACAAATCCTCTTCTCTGACTGCTGTGTCAGGATGAGTAGACATAAATTCAGTGTGACAACTGCTTTTGCATGCACCCCCAGAGACTCCTCATGCAACCCTGAGCTTCTGTTGATCACAGTTGGAATAGAACTGCTGACGACTAGAACCCAGGGAAAAATTGTCTCTGGGTGCGGGCAGAAGAGATGAGATTTAGTATATGTTCAGTCTAACGCTGAACTTATGTTCTCATTTAGATCCAGTGTATCCTTTTAATAATCCTGCTGGCTGCTATGCCAACGGCCTGATCCTTGCCCATGGAGACCGGTGGCGGGAAGACGACTGCACGTTCTGCCAGTGTGTCAACGGTGAACGCCACTGCGTTGCGACAGTCTGCGGACAGACCTGCACAAACCCTGTGAAAGTGCCTGGAGAGTGTTGCCCTGTGTGCGAAGGTAAACCTTGTAGATGCTAATGAGTCCCTGGCGAACGTCTTGTGTTGGAGAAGCCTCTACCAGTATGTTCTTGTTTGTTTATTTCCTCGGGCATAATGTCTGTTTCGTGCTATTACCAGTCGCCGACAGATTGATCAAACAGCTCAAACTAATCATTTGAGGGAAATGTTACACATGTAAAATGAGAATAGTGCGGTCGTTATTTTGCCATTGCAAATATGCGTATCTGAATACAGTATAAGAATACATATGTTTTAATTAAGTTCACTTCAAGGCTAATTAACACCCAAAGGTCAGCCTAACAAAATGAAATTGAAAATGAGACTGATGAGTCAAGCGTAGCATGTTTGGCTTGTGACGCGTCCATAAGCCCAAGGGTCCTGGCAACTAGACGAACAGGCTGGAACCATCAAAAGCAAATTGCACTGCCTGGTGACATCACCGAATATGCATTCTACTTCTGATATCCCAATGGCTGTGGCTTTGCAGTTCCTCTAGTGCTGTTACTTATGTCACAGTTACCTGCATTTGCTACCTCTCTTCTTGTTCAGTAGAAGGAAGCCTGAGTCATCCTGGACTAATTTTTCTGTCTCAACTCCTGTTCAGGCCATTGGCATAGCAGCCAGCTCATTTCCTCCATCCTGGGAAGATTCCTTGCATACTTAACTCATCTCAGTCTTTAATCTTGTGTCTGTGTCTGTTACTGCAGACAAGGGTTTGAATATTTATACAGACATTTCTAATGGAGGGTATCCAGCATTAAGAAGTACATTTGCATAGCAAAATGAACTAATGTGGGTCAAAAATCAATCCATGTTGAAGATGGATCTTTCCAGAATTTCTAAAAACAGGTACTGAAAAATGGACTGCTCTTTCCAGAAAGTCAGTTAAATAGACTAAGTCTTTTAAGTACCAAGAAGTCTTTTGCTTTCACCAAAATGTTAATAAACTCAGACTGCAGTGTTTGCCTGGCTAGCTTCATCAGCCTCTGAGGGGCTAGACTTATTAAAGACCTTAAAAATCATATAAAAATTTAAGCTTGAGGACTCCAGTTCTATTGACATCACCGATTCTCTCGTCATTACTGTGCTCAGAGAGCAGCTGCCACACTCCAAAACTTTATGGCTTCCAGGTGACCAATTTTGTGGGAGTCACCCACCCCTTCATGTATATATACTCCTCCCATCCCCTAAAGACAGCATTTCAGCGCCGAAACAAAAGAGCATGTAGAATTACGTATAACGGTTGTATAGTTGGCTTTACAGGAAAGGATGCCTTGTTGAAGCAGATTAAGATAAGAATATCTGTCCCTAAGAATTAGGAACAATCTGTTGTCAACTTGAAATATTTAATTACAGATATTTGGGGCACCCTGTAAGGAAAATGAAAAGCATAAATTCATAATCCAGTAAACATTAGCCTTTTAACCTCATGGATTTTGTGTCATAAATTCAAAATAAAACTTAAAAACTTGTTAAAGAAGAAAAGAGCCTTTCCTTTGGAAGCAAATGAAAGGAAGGTGGATCGTTTTGTGCTCACCTTTTGCATTCATCAGCATGTCCGTCATGATGAGTGGAGAAGGAAGGCTGTTGGTGACAGGTAAATATATGTATAAAACTCATTTATTACCATTCTCTTAGCACACATTGATGTTTGAGTAAGGAGTGAATCTTAGAATAGTCACTTAGAATTTGGTCTCTGCCACGTCTGCATAGAGTTGTAATCTAATCATCTACTGTTTGAGAAAAAAGTTACAGTTTTGGTGAGCCATTAATTTGAAAAAATTGATTGAGAACCTCCTGGAATTCAGATACAGCACTGGACACAAAGCTAAATAAGAGATAACCTTTAACTTTGAAGAACCTATTTAGGCTGAGTTTTAAATTAAACCAGGAGAAAGGAAATGTCCCCATTGAGGTATCGTGGAGTAAGTGCATCACATTTGCACTCAATTTCATTGTGCGTCCCATCCTACTCATGCCTTGCTTCTGGTGCCCTCACCCATCTCTACTCACCTCTGGCTTTTGGCTCCATTGGGGTGTGATGGCAGTCAGCAGGGGCAAGGGAGGAAATCGTTTGCACTTTGAAAACTGCTCCAGGTATTTTGGATGTGATTGTCCACCTACTGTCTCCCCACAGCTTGAAGACCTCAGGGGAAAGATGCCTTTGAGATGCATCCCTAAGTTCACTTCTAGAGCCTCAGGTCCGGGCAGCCCCCTCCACCTCGACAGAGCTCAGCATCCTTATCATTTCAGCTGTAAAGTTTTGCTGGTCTTTTTTCTTCTGTGTCTCTTTCATACTCTGGCATGCGTCCCTCATCAAACCTTTCGGAAGATTCCATTTTCTGGTTCTCAGAGAAATAATTTATCTTGCTTTTCTTGTTTCTGTTTTTAACTTAGTTGAGTAGTGAGTTTCGTATGAATGTATTTACTCTCTGATAACGCTTTCATTTTAGGATGTATTAATAATAGGAACACAGATTATTTTAGTATAGGATTAAAAAACAGTGCACAGCTTATGATAATGATACTAAAGGGTTATTTAGGGCTACTAATAATGAACTTAAAAAATAACACAAGGTGAATGGATGTTATTGCTTAGTTTATAGGGTCCAAGAAACTCTCTGGAATCATTTGAAGGTATTTTTCTCAGCAGTCATTCAGTAGCACACTTAAATATAATTTTAAATGATTTCAGAGTAGCAAAAGGATTGTATGAAATAAGAAAAAGTGCAAGGTGTTAAAGTGCAATAAATAAGCAATCACCCAGAATTAGTTAGAGGAAAACCAGAAGCACTGGTATTTACCTAGTTTATACACAAAATAAATTCCTCTGTGCACAGTTGCATAACCAGTGTTGGCCCTTACCCTATTCGCTACAGTTTCTAGGTACATAGTCAGAGTATGAAATTAGATGAAAGGACCCCCCACAAGGATTGTGGTTTTAGATTCTAAGTAAACGAACAGCATCACCAAATATGGCGTGTTAGGACCTCCAGGGAGGAAGAACCTTATTGCGTCTGTTGTTATTGGAGACACATACCTTCCAAATGACAAGATAATGTGCTTGGTTACTCCTGGAGGACTAGGGTCATGAAGCTGGGGGCCCTTAAAGCCTAGGCTGTTACTTGGCAGCCAACTTGATTCACAAGTACCTAAGTGCTTTTTAAATTGGCACTTAAGTACTCTCATGATGAATTCTTAGCAAGTTATTGTCAACACCCAATTCAGGTACACAGATAAGCCTTTCTGGTCTGTAACGGATTATATTCTCACATTTTGCTTTGCTGGCTTTTCTCTATATCTCTTGTTTATCGATCTCACTATTTTTATTTCCTGACCCTTGTAAAGAGCTAGGGTGGAAATGTGTGGAATAGCATATAAAGTTTTCAGTTGAAGGGAGTACAGAGAAGACATAATCTCCTTAAAAACTAAAAACAAAAAAGAGATGGGACAGCAGAATTAGGTCTTCATCTGCATCTAGCACCATTGGACCACTCTTATTTGTAACCATTAATGACAGTGGCTAACATTTCATAACACTTGCTATGTGTCAGATTTAAGCGCTTTAAGAGAAGCAACTAATTGGAGATCCTCATAGCATCCCTTCTGTATGGTACCCTCATCCCAATATACAATCAGAGAACACCAAGTTCTGAGACCATGTAACTTGCCCAGGGTCTTACAGCTCATAACTGACAGCACAGTGTGTCCCCAGGACCCAGACCCTGGACCCTGAATGGACACTGCCTCTGTGCTGCAATGTACTACAACCCTGAAAGAGGCTCCATCCCCCTGTAAAGAAGGAATTTGGCATATTCTTTTGAATCCCTAAAACAACATCCGATATGTAAGTAAATGTTCAGAATTTTTATTATAAGTGAATAATAAATGAGGCAGAAAGACTGGAGCAGGAAGTCCCAACCAGACCCTCTTTGGAGATCTTCTTTGTAGTTGAGTGAGGGAGCAGACCCTGATACAGAGTTACCTTAACCAGACCTTCAAAAGCTGATGGCCACTGGGACCCCTGATCTACCAGATGCAGGAAGAATAATGTTAGGGTGCTTATCGTTGAAAACACATCTTGAGAACCTAAGTAAGAGTGTTGTGGAAGTGTGTGACATGAGGTGGGCCCACTGGTCTACAGGCCAGTCGGACCCGTCTCCTGCATTGACAGCTCACCCTTCTGATGGGCACTCAGCTCTGGGCTACATACCGGTGGCAGCCTCCCTTCCAAGACTGATGTGTACTCTGTGGTGTGTTCTGTCCCAGTTCAGCCCTGAAGTCCAGAATCACAAGAGTTTGAGTGGGGCTTCCCCAGACCCTCCAAGGCTAATGCTCACTGCCACATTAATGTACTGTTTTTAAGACACCTTGTGTATGGTGTAGATGCCACTGCATTTCAGTTACTTAAATGGGCAATAATTTTTTTTTTTACATAGTCATAGGTATTGAGAATAATTTGCTAATTTTTTTCCCAATAATACCAAGCATAAATGCTGCCAAAGCTGATTCTTAATGTCAGAGAGATTCTGAGGACAGGTTGCCGTTTCCATTAGAAATCTATTTTGTAACTGAAGGTGAGATAAGGTATCGGGGAGGGAAGTGTCGGCTACGTGACATCTATAACATGCGCATGATTACTCAATAAGAAAAATTCAAGAGATGTGGACAGGTGTGTGGCCAGCTTAGCTGTGATACCTGATGCAAGAGATTAGAGCTGCATGGGGACTTTGAAGCCTTGATGTCAGACCTGATTTGCCCTCTCATCGTGGGCTGCGGCTGGACCCTGCCCAGATGGCCACTGTGACCTGAGTGTTCTTCAGGCCTTTTTACGTGCACCATCTCCTGCAGGGAGGAGCTGATGATTTTGAGGACCTTAGGGATTTTGAAGCCAACACCAGAGTATCACTTTTCAAAAACTAGGAGCAACGTAGGTAACGTTTTAAAAGGTAGCATTCAGAATTATACTCAGGTTGCTAGTAAATAAATTCCATCCTT